ATAGTTCTCTTTGGAGGCAGAGTTATTAAAAATAATTTGAGATTGGAATCTCGTGAAAATCCATTACTTTTGTTTTCATTTTTATTTTTGGATCCATATAAATGTGCTTTTAAAGAAAACTAAACTGCTGTACTAACAGGACTCATAAAAGCCAAGCCTTTGTCTTGTTCTCCTAGTCACAACTCAAGGACATCCCCAGAGAGCTCTATGTTTAAGGCGAGACAGACTAGATGGTGAAATCTTGCCATGGTGAAGATGGTGGAGACTCCTTTGTCTTAGCACCATGAGTCAAGCCCATAAATACACCTTGCCCAAGTGGAAACCAGGATCAGTTCCTCAGCTCATTATCTCCTCACACTGGGGTGAGAAGGAAAAGCAGGAATGAAAATGTTTAGAAAAACAACTCCAGGTCCTGGAATTAAACCATAACCATACTAATTGCCCCTAAAAGGGATAATTAACACAAGTAATTAACTGCAAGTACCTCTGAATGCTGGCAACAGCATGGCCATCAAAAGAAGGCATCCTTTGACCTTGAAGACCTTGTAGATTTATCATACATAGTCCAACACATGACAAAGAGCTCCTCTAAAGTTATCATAATTTAGAAATGGTGAGCACTGGCATATGTTTTAGTAAAGGGGAAGAAATGGGTTAGAGATAAGATGGATTGAGTTTAGGATCACGGAAGTCTGAAGCCAAAAGAAATCTTGGAAAATTGTCAGTGCTCACATCAAATCTGATCTCTAGATCTCTAGAGGTATTTTGTTTGGCATGTCCAATTTTAATTTTAATTTAATTTTTAGCAGTTTTGAATGAATTTCCAATGTTTTAAAACTGGGAAGATTTTACAAAAAAATGTAAATTTCCAGATTCTCTTTGAAAATCAGAAGTTCTGGCAACACTGGGCCCTCGTTTTTAGGTAACAATTGGCTAGAACTGAGTAACTTTGGCCCTCACTGAATGGGCATACTCTCTTCAGTTTATTCCACTCCCTAAGGTCTCCCTGACACAGATCAAGATTGACTCACATTTAGAGTTTCCCTGTTTCCCTTGTGCCCTCCTGACATCCCTCAGGCCCAATCTGCTTTGCTTACTTATGACGTCTGTCTCCCCTGGGTGAACCCTGTGAACGTGCTGCCACTGATCTTACCAACTCCTCAATTTCCTCATTTGCCTGAGGAAACTGAGGTCTAGAGATGTCATGACAGGGGAGAGACCGATATCAAGATCCCTTACTGATCAATCCAGCGAACAGTCACCTATTTCCAAGTCCTGCTCGCAGGTTCAGAAGAGAAAACGGCAGAATTTGTAAATCATTCAGAGTCTGAGAATAAACGAAAAGACCTAGAGATTTAACAGAGTGAAGCATAGGCAAAAACGAGGGCCAGACATTTAGATACTAGTTGATTGGTATAACACCTCCCTATATTCCAAACTCTTATCCATGCTCCCTACACTGCCAACCAGGCCCTTGTTGCATCTTACCGCTGCTCCACACAACCGTATCCCACAAAGCTTGGCTTGAATTGTAGTGTTCTGGTGAAGAAATTCTATGATGATACTATCTAAACTGGTGTGTTCTTTTGCTTAATATGATTTGTATAATTTGTACAAGATAATGGGGCATCCAACCAGTTGTCCGAATACACACTTTAATATGTCATGTACAAACTAGTATATTTGCTATATCACTTTCAGAATAAATTAAGGTACATGGCAACACATATGGGATGCAAAATACAAAAAGATCTAGTGTCATTTGGGGGTTTATTGACTAATGAGGAGCCTATTTTAAAATGACACTCTTCCAGAGACTCTGACAGGTCTGGACTTTGTCTTTAATGCTGTCACATTCGTTAATGGTTTTCTCATCTCATATCCCGTCTTCTCTCAAAGAGCTTAAGAGTTTCTTTCGAGTGGGTCATAAATGTACAAGGTTGTATAATAGTTTGAACATGTGTTAAAATGTTGAAATGCGTGATTGTGCAAAGTAAAATTAATCAGGATGATGTATAAGTACAGCTTGATGACTATAGTTAACATACTATATTATATATATGCAAGTTACTAACAGAATAGATCTTAAAAGTTCTCATTGAAAAAATCTAATTGCATGTGATGATGGACGTTAACTAAACTTACTGTGGTAAGCATTTACACACACACACATAGAATCATGTTGTACACCTAAATGTAGTACAATGTCATATATCAATTATATATCAATTTAAAAAACACACAAAATAGTCAGAATGATGGTCATGAGGATTCAAAGAAAAACATAGAGGAAACGCTCCCCCTATAGGTAGTAGGCCCAATTTCTAACTACCATTAATAATAGTTATCATGTATTATGACCTTGTTATGTGATAGCACAACTGTTCAAAGGATAGGCTCTCAAGACTGACTTCTTGGGTTCAAATCCTAGTCCCATGATTTACTTAGCTGAGTAACCTTATTAAGAGTCTCAGTCTAAGATAAAAGTTATGCCTCCATGGATAAAATAAGGTGTGTTGGCTCACTTGAGATATCATGTTTGATAAACATTAGTAATAATAATAACAATTATTATTATTATTATTGGCCATTGAAATAGAAAATAGAAGGTGGCTTTACTCTGCATATTGCCCCAGGGAAGTAGAGATATTTTCCTACCTAAAGTTTAAATCAAACTAAGAGTTGTTATACCATAAGATTGCAGACCTGGGGGGG